CCCAAAATGTATCTATTCATATGTGTGAAGTCTTACTCAGCGTTGATGGGCGTAGGCTGCCGCCCGTCCGTGACAAGAAGGTGTTTCAGCAAGAGAACGGACCCCAGAGCCCCCCGGCTGCGACGATTCCCGCCAAGTTTCTCTGCCCCATCAACCGCTCTCTCATGCTCGAGCCCATGTATTCGGCCGAGACAGAATTGACGTACGAACACCAAGCAATCGTGCACGTCGTTCAAGATGGTGCTGGCGTTTGCCCCGTGACCCAGCGCTCCGTGGTAACGTAACCACGCTGCTCGACATCTCAAGTCATCCTACATGTTGCTGTAGGATTTACACAAATTGGTCCTCAACACAAAGTTGCAACACGAGATTCGCGCTTTCCAGACGCGTCAAGCGGAAGACGATGCGGTCCTTGCACCGTAAGCTTACTTTTCATCGCACAAAAACGTCCTGTCGCGTTGTTCATTCTATCGCATCCAATCGTGGAGCACTGGTTAGGACGCAGCCCACAGCAATATTGTACGCGGCCGGGACCGCCCATGGGCATTTGTGGACTTGCAACGTTTAACCCACTGAAAAGCCCATCGAGACGCTATCGTCCTTCGTCGCAGACGGTGGCGTACACTGTAGCACTCCTGTCCGATCTGCTTTGCACTGGTACACGCGCCAGATTGGAAGCGCACATCCTTTCTTCGTCTCATATTTGGTGTGTGGTGGTTGCAGACGTTCGTGCTGCGCGCCGATCCAATCTGTCCCACACATCAAGGTCCTCGTCATCATTTCCATAATTTCCGCAATTGAGACCAGTACAGTGTAGTAGCACGTCGCGACCCCATGCACCTCGATAGCACGGCTCGTCGACTAGTGTACATTCGTAAGTGAAGTTGATGGAGGGCATTCCATGCACGCTGCGACCCCCTCTGCCTCGTCGCCCTGTCTACTCTTGTACTGCAAAGTGCACTTTGCCCTTTGGCTCTAATTTTAGCGCTTTCAAAATACCGAGCTATTTTCGCCCTTTCTAAACATAGGAACGCGCGCTTTTTAAAAGGCAGCGCCATCATTGCCAAGGTTCAACGCTCCCGCACAAGCGATGGCCTTTCTCCAAAACTGGCAGCAGCAGCCTTTCTACACGCCTGTGCTCGTCAAGGTACCCCCTTCTTCGACATGGATGGCCGCTCATTGTCCTTCTGCTCGCTAGCCGCACAGTATGGTCATGGAGACAGGCCACGTGTGCGTCGAGCCCGACTGCGGCCTCGTTTTTGAAGACGCACAGGGTCTCAAAGACCACGTGACGCAGCACACGTGGGGCCCGCACACGGTACAGACGCACGAGAATGGCGCCAAGACCTTCCATTGCCTCGGGTGTGGCAAGGCCATGACGGACCGCAAGGTATGGATCCATGTGCGCTCTTCCGTGTCGCTCAGTGCACGAGGTAGGTGCTTCGAAAGCACTTGCTGACGCACCAAGAGAAGCGGTTTTTGTGCACGTTTGACGGCTGCGACAAGAAATTCTACGAGCGCGCCAAGCTCAAGCGGCACATGCTCGTGCACACGGGCGAGAAGGCGTTTCGATGCACGTACCCCGCGTGCGACAAGCACTTTGCGTACAAGGCGAATCTCAAGACGCATTTACGCACGCACACGGGCTTGAAGCCGTTCCCGTGCCTCTTTCCCGGCTGCCCGCGCACCTTTGCGCAAGCGTCGAACCGCAACTCGCACATGCAGACGCACACGCGGGCGTCGTCGAAAGCGTGGTCGGGCGACGCCAAAGAGACGCCGATGCTCTCGTCGTCGTCGGCGGCAATGGCCCAGTTCAAACTGCCGCCCATGGACTTGTCGCTGCAAGAGTTTCTCGGGCCTATGGACCCGATGCTGCAGCGCATTCCGACGCCACGCTTTGCGAAGAGCACGTCCTGCCATGGTAGTAGTAGCACTTGCATGTCGAGTGGCCACCCGCCGAGAGCGCAGTTGTCGCCGCTCGACTTGTCGCTTGACGGGCTCAAGTCGAGCGAGCTCTACAACATGCTGCCAACGCCCGGCTCGTTCCTCGGCGGCAACCTCTTCAGTTTTGATCCGGCGTCGTAAACATCCTTTCCGAGGCCCCATTTTTAATACACGGATGAATGACGTTGAATTAACTTACTCATTCTGTTTACTCCTCCGTCGACTCGCGCGATGCACCAATGTCGATGGTCCAGACACTTGCCTTGTCCTTGAAGAGCTTTTGCACCGCGCCCTTGTCCGTCTTGGACGACAAGATAGCGCCCGAACTCGAAAGCACTTGAATCTGGGACGGCGCCGTCGAGGCCACCTCGTCTGCATCAAAGAGGAAGAGCGCGCACTTCCACTTGATCTCGTCAAACCCCCGGAAATCGACTCGAGGTGCAATTCCAGCGACCGCGTCGCCTTGTCGCCCTTGCGTCGCAGTGTCAGCGTCGACGTCTATTGCAACAATAAGGCCCGTTGTTGCACAACTCTAATAATGATCCATGTACCTTGGTCGAGGGCTTGCTCCACCCGGTGCGCAGCCCCGAGAAGCCCAGTTTCGATGAAAACTTCTTCATGAGACCCGACGACGACGACGACGGTGCGGGCACGAGCGACCCGGACGCTGTCCGTGTCCATGCGCGGCGCCG